ACTCTAACTTCTGCCGCCCCACCTGCCTCCAGAGGCACCTTCTGACACCCGGAGGGATTAGTGCCGCTTCAGTCCTAGTTGTCCAGCACGTGGGAAGCAAATGAAAAGCAGAACAGGCGCCTGCAGTGGTTGTCATGTTTTGAAAATAATCTCAAGGTTACGCAGAAGTTAGAGTAAGAGCATCCCCAACCCAGCGGCTGGAGATGGCCTCCTGCTCACCAGTCCTGCTCCCTGGGACCACCCGCACCGGGTTAGGTCAATGCCTTTGTCATCTCTTCTATCACCCGCTCCCCTGTCTGCCTGTCTGTCTGTCTCCATGTATCACCCATGTACCTGTCTGGGGAACAGGATTCAGGGCCAGGACCTGGACTCCGGGTAGGCAGCCTGGGACCTGGGAGCTTACTGACTCTGGGTTCAATGGACAAACATCTTTCACACGGTTCCACCCCGGACACGGCAACCAACCGAGGTCCCTGAGCTATTTGTCCGTTTGTAAATGCAAGGACGGCTGCCCTCCCACCTCGGGTGGGGGCTGTGAGGCTCTGGGTGACTGACAGGAGTGCGTTGTCACCGCCTGCCCTGAACATCAGGAGACACAAGGCCCCTGCACTGTGGGAGCCCGTGGTCCAGCAGGTGGACGCAGGAGAGGGAGAAACAGGTGTGAAGTAATGAGGCACAGGGAAGGGGAAGGAGGAGCTCGGGGGGTGCCAGGAAGACGGTCAGGAGAGAACCAAGGCTGGCTGGAAGCATCCATCGGAGGGAACTGGACAGGAGCTCCAAGAACAAGGAAAGTGCCCAGAGCACCAGAGAAGTTGGGAAATGTGGCTGGTGCCGGAGGCCTGAGAACAGAAGGATAACCTTGACCTAGGGGAGAGCAAACTCAGACGGCAGGAGAGTCCACTCGTCACAGCGCAGGTCAGGTCGGGAGGAGGACAAAAGTTCCCTACGGGGCTCCGAAGTCTGACTGATGTCGGGATGGGTGGTACTTATATTTGTCAATCAAAGGTGACTCTGCCCATTCTCCCGGGAGTTTCCCCACTTTCCCGGGCAGGGGGAGCCTGTGCACTCAGGGCTGGGGGGAGAGGGGCTCCTCCGAGGGGGCTGGTGTTGCTCTGGCCCTGCTGAGGTGTGGGGGGCCCTTACGGTGCTGTGCTGGGGCCTCTCCTGGGCTCTAGTCTTAAGGGCCCCACCTGGACCTCCAGGTCCCCTCACCTCTTCTGACCACACGTCTACGCTCAACACCTGTGCCTGCGCGCTCTGGGGCCCCGGGAGGGGGTGCCCGCACAGGTGCCACTTCTGCCGCTGAGCCCTGAGTGGAGAGAATCAAGTCCCTAAGGGTGGAAGTGACCCCAGTCCTGTGCTGCCCCACAAACCAGAAGCTCGGGAGCCTCTGGATCCAGCGAGAGGAACCTTGGGGCTCATGGCTCGAAGACTGAGGTGGCTTCAGAAAAAGGTGGGGCACCTTGTACTTGCCAAAAGGAAGTTTCACGCAGGTCCTTCTGGTCCCTCTGCCCCGTCTAGATGAATAATACTGGGGACCAAATCTGCCTGGGTGGGGGGGACGTGCCCACACCCCATGAGGCCATTTATAACTTGTAGAAACTCACCGCCTGCCTGTGTTCTTTTTGTGTTTTTTAAAAGGCTGGATGCTGGACTTCAACAAACTTTACTTCCTCCTCCCCATGGAAAGCCTGGGGTGGTGGCGAGTATGATCAGCTTCAAGTCCATTACCCACTCACAGCTGTGACGGGGTGGGGTCAGCAGGTGGCCAAGGGAGTGCCCTTTGGAGCCTGGCCCCCCACCTTGTGCCCTGTGGGTTCCTGGAAGCAAACCCAGAGCATCTTCTGTGTTCCCAGGTCCTGCAGGCACACAGCACCCTGGCCCTGTGGCACCCCCCACACTCTCCAAACGCACTGTGCACAGAGCCAAAGGCCCGTGTGCACTTGTCACCTCGACCACATTGGTCCCCCAGGCTGTGGAATTCCTAGCACATGCTTGGTCTGCTCAAGATGATCCTGAAGATAAAGCCGAATGCCAGCGTGGAAGCCTTCACAGACATTTTCTAACGTATACACATGAGAGGTGCAGCCCGGGGATGTACCCCCCAGCCCTGTGCTGCCTTCCCGGATGGACACAGACACCGCCAGCCTCAGCGGGTCAGCGACGTCCAGGCTGCACAGCTGCCCAATGGCTCGAAGCCCCTCCTAAATGACCTAAACTGCAACCAGCATGACCCCACAGCCCTAGGCCCTTACCACAGGACAGCAAAGCTCTCGGCTTCCTTTCCCCAGCCCAGTCCTGCATGGGGCCCTGAACCTGGCGGGGAGCCCTGCATAGCAGCAGGTGTGGGGTCTCTGCTTCTTTACCTCCATGGTCAGAAGAGAGTGCAGAAAGCCCCACTTACTGGCACAGTGGGGCTGTTTTGTGAGTTCCTCAGGCCCCATCCCCCACCCAAAATTGCTGGGGATCCTCAACTGTAGCCCCATCGGTGCAGAGGGGGTGCCGCTCAGAGTGCTGCAGCTCCCACAGGTTCCCTCCTGTTGGGATCACCTTCCCTGTCCAGATGGGCCCCTTGTGAGAAAGACTTTTAAGCCGCAGCCAACATCTGTGTAAGGAGAGTAAAACCCACCCTTTGCTTTGCCAAGCAGGACAGCCGGCTGCTGGGAGCTCAGCTCCTCTCCAGGAGCTGCAGTCAGGGCAGCCAGCCAGCTGCGGGGTCACCCCAGGCTCCCAGGCAGGGGCTGGAGCCAGTCCTGCCTCCCCAGGAGTTCACAGGCCAAGTCTCCCCAAACTGACTTGGAGGTGTTGCCCTTGGCTTGAAAGGAGACATCAGCACAGTGAGGACCCCACCCCAGGGCCTCCCCTGCTGGCCCCGCTCTGACATGGCCTTGGTGAGGACATGGCCTTGGTCAAGACGTCCAGCACAATGCAGAAGTCATGAGATGGGCATCTTGCCTTGTTGCTGGTCTCAGCAGGAAAGCATGTGGTTTCTCACCATTAACCACGTAGTGTAAGTATGTAATTGTGCCACAATTCTGGAATATTTTATATTTTTTGTTCTTTTTTTTCTTGCTGCATTTCACATTTGTGAGTTTCCATGGACATTTCCTTCAGCTCCGGGTTCTTTCCTGAGCATGTTTAGGGATGAGCCCCTCCGAGGCACTCGCTCCTGGCGACAGCGTTTGGTTCCCAAGCACTTCCTTTTGATTCCCTCTCAGAAGCTCAGCCTCCGCCT